GGAGGAGGAGGAGGAGGAGGAGGAGGGGATTGGATTTATACCCCGCCCTTCACTCGGCGTCTCAGAGCAGCTTCCAATCTCCTTTCCCTTCCCCTCCCCACAACAGACACCCTGTGAGGTAGGTGGGCCTGAGAGAGCTCTTTCGAGAACTGCTCTTGAGAGAACAGCTCTGGGAGAACTACGGCTTGCCCAAGATCATCCAGCCGCTGCATGTGGAGGAGTGGGGGGAAATCAAACCCGGTTCTCCCAGATTAGAGTCCGCGCACTTAACCACTACACCAAACATTGGTGAGGAAAGCTGTGAAGGGAATCCCCCTTTCCGGGGATGGGCTCACCCGTATCATGGCGACCATCTTCTGGCCGTCCTCTCGGAGTCTCTCCTGCCTCTGATGCTCGTCCTCGTCCTGGGAGAGGGGCTTCAACGGACACTTCGGTTCTGCCTTGACGTCGGCTGGCTCCTTCTTGGGCGTTTCCTCCCCCTCCGGTTTACCGAGTGGCGGTGCGGGTTCACGGCCGCCTCGCTGGCTGGTGCGGTTGCACATTTCGCACACCCGGCCAGGGATGTGGTTCCAGAAGGTGCAGTGCTCGCACTGCCAGCCGGGGCGCTGCGGTGAAGGAAGGGTGAATTGTGATCCTCAACGGAGAGGGAAGGGGCACTAAGCGTAACGCTCCCTCTGAGCTGTGGACTCCCGTGAGCGGAAATTCTACTTTGTGAGCGACCGGCATGAAAGTCGCGAGGGAGCGATTTGGCTACTGCATCAATCAGTGTGCTCTGGAGCCCCATCCTTCCTGAGCGGAGACAAAAATGTGTGAGCCGGAGGCTAAAAAACGGTGAGCTGGCTCACACTAATTCAGCTTAGAGGGAACACGGAGCATAACTGGAGTTCAGTGGAAGTCAAGCCCGGGGTTCCCCGACCTATTTAAGCCTGCAGGAACCTGAGGGATTCTGACACACTGTGGTGGCCGCAGACACAAAATGGCTGCCGCAGAAGGTGGAGCCAGCCAGAAAATGGCTGCCACAGCTTTCTTTCAGCCACACAGTGAAGATCCTTACGCTGTGGCGACAGCTGCTACCAAAACGTTTTTTAAAAATCTGCACAGCCAATCAAACCTTCAGAAGCCTCGTTAAGCAAAAGCCCTGCCTGGCCCCACCCACTTTCCCAAAACACCTGGCACACCAGGAAAGGTAGAACGGGTGCCATGCAATGCTCCCTCTAAGCTGTGGAGTCTTGTGAGCAAAAATTCTACTTTGTGAGCTAGCGGCATTAAAGTTCTGAGGGAGCGATTTGGCTCCTGCATAAATCAGTTTGCTCTGGAGCCCTCCTTCCTCAGCTAAGACAAAAAGGTGTGAGCCGGAGGCTAAAAAACTGTGAGCTAGCTCACACTCACTCAGCTTAGAGGGAACATTGGTGCCATGGCACCAGCGAGCACTGTGCTGGAGACCCCTATAGCCACAGCGAGGTCTACGTAGTGGCCAGTCTTTAAAAGGATCAAAAACTGCTCAGACATGATCTTTTGCCCGGGAAAGCTAGCCTCATAACCCCCAAAGGATGACAGATGGTCGGTGTGATTTTCTTCATGAATATCTCAAAAGTGTTTTATGGCCGGATCTTGGCACTGAAAATATATCCTGGGGCTAAAACTTGCCTCAAATTCAGCTGCAGGCGTGGAGGGAAACCTTAGGACCAAAGATGGGATTCCTGAAAACGTTAAATCTTCGTTTTGTAAAAATAAACAAACAAAAGGAATTGTAGGACCGGACGTTTCGCCAGCAGCTGTGACTGGCATCCTTAGAGGTATCGCTGCAGTAGTTCATACAGTTGAATAAATAAAGATAATACTGCTGTTAAGCTTCCATGCCGTTTTAATTCTTGTTTTTTCAACAGGTAGACATCATCGAGACACTGAAGTGCCGTCAAGTTGACCAGATGAACGGACGAACGTCTCGAGTTTTACCGTTCGTTTCGAGGCATATCTTTATCAAACTGATCTCAATTTTCCAGTATTCTTTTTACAGTCCAATCCACCAAAAAAGGTATTCATAAACTCAGAATGGCTTCCCACAGCTCTTTTGCTAACAATTGTTTCCTTGCTACGGACAGCACGTGTTTTGGTGGATTGGACTGTAAAAAGAATACTGGAAAATTGAGATCAGTTTGATAAAGATATGCCTGGAAACGAACGGTAAAACTCGAGAAGTTCGTCCGTTCATCTGGTCATCTTGACGGCACTTCAGTGTCTCGATGATGTCTACCTGTTGAAAAAACAAGAATTAAAACGGCATGGAAGCTTAACAGCAGTATTATCTTTATTTATTCAACTGTATGAACTACTGCAGCAATTCACTGTATGTTGATCTTGTCTTGATTGCTGTGCCCTTTGTTAGTGTTTATCCTCAGAGGTATAACACAGAAAGAGGGAGTACTCTCTGTGTTGAAGTGAGAAGAAAAATGGTAGGCAGGTCATTTAGATCTACTCGGGAAGGTGGGGTAAGGCTGGGGCATTATCTTGGAGGAGTTCCCCAGGCTGTGAACATGCGAATGGAGGAGCTTTCCTGAGGAGGTTCTTTTGTATATGGATTGTTTCCTGAAGAGGCGTCCTGTTTCCTGAGGAGGTTCTAATCTTTAAGGGATGAGGGAAGGGGAAAAACCTGAAGGGAAGTGAGCGGCGCCAGACTTCCCTTCTCTGGCGACACAGGCTCACCTCTTCCTGCGGCAGCTCCGTCGGCTCCCCCCAGGCCATGAGGGGCTTGGCGTCACCGGTGCCAGGTCTCCCAGCCAGACGGGGCCTCTCGCACACGGCGCACAACACCATGGACACCTCGTTCTCAAAGGTGCAGGACTGACATGACCAACGCCCCCGGGCCAGCTGGTCCTCTGAATTGACGCTGCCGGGCATCTTGCAGCCACGGGGGCGCTCGCAGGCCACGCACAGCACCGAGCGGGCATCGTTGAGGGTCTGGCAGGCGGCGCAAAACCAGGCAGGGCGTGGGAGGGGCGGCTGGGCAGGCAGGCTACGCCACCCATCCATTGGCGGACGCAGAGACGCGGCATTGGGGGTCACCGTGGAGAGGCTGAAAGAGACCGGAATTATTAGGTTAAGTAGCGTCGCAGCAATATCAAAGAAGAGGATTGGATTTATACCCCACCCTTTATTCGGAGTCTCAGAGCGGCTTACAAGCTCCTTTCCCTTCCCCTCCCCACAACAGACACCCTGTGAGGTAGGCGGGGCTGAGAGAGCTCTGACAGAAACTGCTCTTGAGCAGTTCCCTCTAAGCTGAGTTAGTGTGAGGAGAGTTTAGAGGAATGCAAAATCCAGCCTTCTCACCATGCATTCCACATAATCTTTTTGGAAAGTCACAGTCCACCCTAAAGCAGGGATCTCCAACACGGTGCCCATTGGCGCCCACCAAGTGTTTTTAGAACGTGGGCAGGGCCATGTGGGTCTTTTGCCTGATTGGCCGCTGGAGATTTGGTTGGCTGTGTAGATTGTTTAAAATGTTGCTTTGGCAGCAGCTGCCACTGAAAGTAAGCAGGGGCAGCCATTTTGGGGGCAGCCATTTTGTGCGTGCACCTAACCACACTGCGTCAGAATTCCAAAGGTGCCAGCAGGTTTGTGAAATGTTGGGGACCCCCCCGCCCTACAGCCCTACCCGACGCAGCCCGCATAGATCTTCAACTGCTTCATGCGTCTGAAAGCCAAAATCTGATCCTCAAACCACGAGCCCCTAAACTCCACGGCTACATTTGAAATCTAGAAAACTAACAGAGGTCCAAAAGTTGAAAACACATAATAAGTGCACAAAAAAGTGTTTATTACAAAGACATATAAAAACCTAGGAGGGGCCCAAATGAAGCCTCATAAAATGTACAAAGTTACAAATACACAAAAAAAGAGAACAGTGACGCATTTCAGCTCACAAGAGCCTTCTTCAGAGGTCAAAGAGCACAAACTATAACAAGCAACAGAGTCCCTGTAACACATGTAAGGCAATTAACAATAAATATAAAATAGATAAATAAAACAGGACCAAAATTGGAATGTTCCAATATGGAATCGAATGACACACCAGAAAGTTTCTATTTGGGGCCACAAACATATCTGGCCTTGTGTCAGAAGCAATGTTCCCTCTAAGCTGAGCTGGTGTGAGCTAGCTCACAGTTTTTTAGCCTCCAGCTCAGACATTTTTCTCTTAGCTCAGGAAGGAGGGCTCCAGAGCAAACTAATTTATGCAGTAGCCAAATCACTTGCTCACAACTTTGATGCCAGTAGCTCACAAAGTAGAATTTTTGCTCACAGGACTCCACAGCTTAGCGGGAACATTGGTCAGAAGTTGTTGTATGAACTGGAAATATGATGTACCTTCCAGTTTAGGTTTTCACATGTCTTCGTAATAAACACTTTTTGGTACACTTACTTACGTTTTTAACTTTTGGCCCTCTATTTGTTTTCTAAACTTCCTTTCGAGGTTTGTGCTTGGTTGGTTTAGATTCCCCCCCCTCTTTTTTTGGGGGGGGTACATCTGAAATCTCACAGGGCTCCCCGCTCCGCCAAGACCTCTGCTGCAGGGCAGACGTGCAGGAATGGCACGGATGGAAATGGATTCCCCAGAGGTGCTACCTGGATGGCAGCGTGTTCCGCCACGCTCGCTCCTTCAAGGGCACCCGCCGGTGATGCGTCCGCGATGGGTGCTTGTGGAAGAGGCGGTCACAGTCGGAGCACAGAGACTGGGCGCAGGAGGGGCAGTGCAGCGACGGGGACTCCAAGCCGCAAAGCAGGCAGGAATCCGGCGGCAAGTACTCTGTGCGAGGCGGGGCAGAGAAGAGTCACACATGGAACTAGTGATTCACACATGGAATTCACTGCCACAGGAGTGAACGGCTTCAAAAGGGAATTAGATAAGCATGTGGAGCAGAGGTCAATCAGTGGCTATTAGCCACAAGGTATAGATAGGGACTCTGGGGCAAGGGATGCTCTGTCATCTTGGTGCTTGGGGGGGGGGGTCAACAGTGGGAGGGGTTCTAATGTCCTGGCCCCACTGCTGGACCTCCTGATGGCACTGGTGTTTTTGGCCACTGTGTGACAGAGCGTTGGACTAGATGGGCCTTTGGCCTGATCCAACATTGGCATCTCTTATGTTCTTATGTTCTTAGTCGGGTAAAGATCACGGCAAGCCGGTCCCTTTCCTAGCGATTTAGCCAAGGGAAGCCCCATTCTGCAGGGAGTATTACTTCTGGAAACGTTTTGCCGTTCAGACTTGGGGGCCCTCGCATAGTGCTGAAGCCCCCTCGGAAGCGCGCAAGCACTTTTCAAGGTCCCTCCACAACAGGGTTCCCCAACATGGTGCCCAGGGGCGCACGCCAACACCTTCTTTGGGACCTGCAGCCATTTTGGGGCTTCCTTGGTTTTCAGAAAGTGGGCAGGGCCAAGCGGGGCTTTTGCCCAGCAGGGCTTCTCATTGGCTGTGCAGATTTGTAAGAACGTTGCTTTGGAAGCGGCAGCCACTGCAGCCCGAGAATCTTTACTGTGTGAGTGAGGTAAGCTGCGGCAGCCATTTTGCGGCCGGCTCTGTCTCTTGCGGCAGCCATTTTGTGGCGGCCGTTCTGTGGCTCTGCCCACTATGCAGTGTCAAACTTCCAAAGCTGTCCACAGATTCCAAAAGACCCCAGCTCTACCGCCCCAAGGGTGAAAAACTTAGCGAGTTCTCTTTTAATCTCAAAAAGAAATTGCAGGATCTCAAATTTCACATGTGGGGGTGAAGTGCAATCCCCGGAGAGCGAGGGCCGTTCACACCACTTGCTTCTTCGTTCCACATTACCTGTGTGCGATAGTGCCGGTGCTGGGTGCAGAGGCAGGCGTTCTGGAGCCATGTCTGCAATGAGGTTGCCCTGGGAAAAGAAGAAGAGAAGAGATTGGATTGATATCCCGCCCTTCACTGAAGAGTCTCAGAGCGGCTTACAATCTCCTTTCCCTTCCCCTCCCCACAACAGGCACCCTGTGAGGTAGGCGGGGCTGAGAGAGCTCTTTCGAGGACTGCTCCTGAGAGAACAGCTCTGAGGGAACTTGTGACTGGCCCAAGGACACACCAGCAGCTGCATGTGGAGGCGTGGGGAATCACACCCGGTTCTCCCAGATTAGAGTCCGCGCACTTACCCACTACACCAAACTGGCAAGGATGAGGTTTCTTCTATCCACCCCTGTACCTGGCAAGTTTTGTTCATGCCAAGTGGTGGACTGTGCCATTAAAATGGCCCAGGAGCAATTTATTTATTTTTACTTCATTGACACCCCCACCTTTCTCCCCAACTGGGACCCAAAGCACCTTACATCCCCCTCCTCTCCTCTATTTTATCCTCACAACAACCCTGTGAGGTAGGTTAGGCGGAGAGCGTGTGACTGGCCCAAGGCCACCCGGCAGGCATCCGTGGCAGAGTGGAGACTGGAACGTGGGTCTCCTAAGTCCTAGTCCAACCGTCTAACCCCTATGCCACAATGGCTCCCGTAGCAAGTCAAGACAAGCGACCTTCCGCAGACAAGGAGGGGCGTCCGCCCATCACCTGTGGCTGGGCCCACCATTCTCACTCACCTCTTTGCTCACCTCTAAGCCGTTCCCCTGCTGCATCAGCTCCTGCAGAACCTGAGGGTTGGGGTGACTGTCCTAAAAGGAAAAAAAGAACAAAACAAAACATCTCCCAGCATGCCCTTCTCCACACGCTTCTCCCTCCTCATCCCTCCCCTGACCACTGCGGTCTGCCCCCCATACCGAAAGGAGAAGGTTCAGCTCGGCTCGTAAGAGCATGACGTCCACTGTGATGGAGGCCACCTGGAGGGTATCCGGTTCCTGCAGGTGCTCAGGGAAGCAGAGCCCGTCGCTCTGTTCTTCCGAATAGCCGTAGAGGCGAAGAACATCCCGTCCGCCCTGTCAGAGACACAGGGCGCACATAAAATCAAAAGGACGGAAGAAGAAGAAGACGACATTGGATTTATACCCCGCCCTTCACTACCCAAAGGTGTCTCAAACTCCTTTCCCTTCCCCTCCCCATAACAGACACCCTGTGAGGTATGTGGGGCTGAGAGAGCTCTGATAGAAACGGCTCTTTTTCAAGAACAGCTCTTATCAGAACTGTGGTTTGCCCAAGGTCATCCAGCAGGTACAAGCGGAGGCATGGGGAATCAAACCCGGTTCTCCCAGATTAAAGTCCGCGCACTTCACCACAACACCAAACTGGAGACGGCAGGGGCTGTACAGGTTAGTTCCCACCCTGAGGCATAGAACTCCTTTCCAGGAGAGGCCCTTCATTATTTTATTTATTTATTTACTTGGGATTTATATCCCGCCCTACCCAAACGGCCCAGGGCGGCGAACAGTGGCAATGCCGGATTAAAATATAGAATACATTAAAACATTAGTACATACAAGCTAAAATGGTGCTCTACAGAAAAGCAGACTGATTTCAGTTTGGAAGCGGGGGGCATTGTTGGTGGAGGCCCCTTACCCACAGAACCCAAGAGAGGCACACCTGGCTCATTCTGTGGAAATGTGTCAGAAACCTGTAAAATCTTGGGGGGGGGGGGAGGCTTCAATTCAGCTCAATTTTTCCATTGGGGGGTTTCAACGAAATAATGGAGTTTAGGAAGAAGAGGAGGAGGAGGAGGAGAAGGATATTGGATTTATACCCCGCCCTTCACTACATAAAGGAGTCTCAGAGCGGCTTACAATCCCTTTCCCTTCCCCTCCCCACAACAGACACCCTGTGAGATAGGTGGGGCTGAGAGAACTCTCTTGAGAACTGTTCTTGAGAGAACAGCTCTGAAAGAACTTGTAACTGAGGCCGAGAGAGCTCTGACAGAAACTGCTCTTTTTCAAGAACAGCTCTGACAGAACTATGGCTTGCCCAAGGTCATCCAGCAGGTGCATGTGAACAAGTGGGGAATCAAACCCGGTTCCCCCAGATTAGAGTCCGTTCACTTAACCACTACACCAAATAGCGTTGGATGGGAGAGGGAGAAATATCTTTCCCACCTGAATGGTGTCGACTGTGTCCCGGAAGACGGGGTTGTTGAACTTGACCGTGCGCCAGAAACGAGGCTTCAGGGGGTTCAAGAGATTGCGCCCGTATTTCTCGAGGATGTTCAGCGCGGTCGAGAGTGTCCGCAGGTCTCTCTGGGTCTGGGAGAGGATTGTGTTAATTCGGTCCCCTTAAGCAAGCGGCTTGTCTTTTTTCCACCCCAGTCAGTGTTCCCTCTAAGCCAAGTTAGTGTGAGCCAGCTCACAGTTTTTAAGCCTCCAGCTCACACCTTGTTGTCTTAGCTCAGGAAGGAGGGCTTCAGAGCAAACTAATGGATGCAGTAGCCAAATCACAGGCTCACAACTGTAACGCCAGGAGCTCACAAAGCAGAATCTTTGCTCACAAGACTCTACAGCTTAGGAGGAGCATTGACCCCAGTAGGTACAAATTTCTGAATCACAGGCAGAAATTTCACCGGCAAAGCTTTTCCCGGCAGGCAGATGCTGTGACGGGAAATGCTTCCCTGGAAGAATTCCCAAGTTCCAAATCTTGAGTATCCAGATCTCCCAAGCATCCCTTCAGTTCATACCTCCCCCTGGGTATTGGCCCGCATGATGCCTTTCACGTCGATCTCCTGGTACTTCTTCGCCAGCGGCAACGACATCTCCACCAGCCGCTGCAAAGTTTCCTGATTCAGCTCGGAGGGACTCTGGATCAAGGCAGCCACCAACTCATCCCGAAGGCATATGAATTCAGGCTCCATCGCTGTCACTGAACACAAAGGACAAACAGAGACGGCACACGAGAGATGAGACCACCTTCCACTTAGAGAATTGCCCATTTATACTCACTCTCTGTTTTCTATTAATTAGCCAGTTTTTGATCCATAAAAGGATTTGTCCTCTTATCCCATGATTTTTTAGCTTACTTAACATGTTTGTTCACCCCCTCAAAGAACATTAACAGGTTAGTGAGACAAGATCTTCCCTTACAGAACCCATGCTGAGTCTGCCTCAATAGGTTTTGTTCATCTATGTGCCTACTAATTCTTTCCTTAATAATGGTTTCCACCAATTTACCTGGTATCGACGTCAGACTGACTGGCCTGTAATTTCCCAGATCTCCTCTGGAACCCTTTTTAAAGATGGCCTCCTGTGCCTATTTTCCAGTTTGGTGTAGAGGGAGCGCCACTTTGGTGTAGTGGTTAAGTGCATGGACTCTAATCTGGGAGAACCGGGTTTGATTCCCCACTCCTCCACTTGCACCTGCTGGATGACCTTGGGCAAGCCACAGTTCTGTCAGTGGAGTTCTTGAAAAAAGAGCTGTTTCTGTCAAGAGCTCTCTCAGCCCCACCTGCCTCACAGGGTGTCTGTTGTGGGGAGCGGAAGGGGAAGGGAAAGGAGATTGTAAGCCACTCTGAGACTCCCTTGGGTAGAGAAGGGCAGGGTATAAATCCAACCTCTTCTCTTCTTCTTCTTTTCCATTGAACATGCACAAAGAGCTATGGGCAGGCCTTACCAAATTCACGGAGGGGGCAGGTTATGCCTTTGCCAGCAGAGGAAAGATTGTGGGGGGCAGGAAACAGGCAAGATGGGGCTGCCAAATATTAGGGGCGCACACAGATTCAAGCTTACAAGTGACCAAGGGAAGAACGGGAATTGGGGGAACGTGGACAGCATTAAAATTATGGTCCTCCCAGTGGAGTTTGTCAGCTAGGCCTCTAGCTGCCATGGAGTGTGTGTGTGGGGGGGGGGCCCTCTGGAATTTTAGGTTTCTTTTCTCTGTGTTTCTTTCCGTCTTTCTTTATCTCTGTAACATGAGCGTTTGGCCTGGGTGTCTCGCACTGGCTTTTTGGACACGTTAGCTTTGGTGGGCTTCTACTTGTTCCGTGATTGGCTCCAGGCCATCAGCGGACCCTCTTGAATTATGTATATCTGTTTGCTTTGCGCGCTTATTGCCAGTTCTAACACAAGACACGTAAAGCCGATCTGCATACTTCAATTGGTTTCAATAAATTTTACTTCTTGGCAAGGACGTTGTTGGGAACTGCAGGAGTCTGACAGTGTTCCCGAGCTGACAGAGGGGCAGTAGCCAACCTTTCATGGGTGGGTGGGAGGACACACACACCTTATTTCCAGTTCCAAAAAACAAATGTCCAGTTATTTCCCCCCCCCCACAACCCAAAGAAACACATATATCCACCAAGACAACACATCTCTTTTTAGAGATCCAAAAAAGTTAGCCGAATTAGTCTGTTGCTGCAAAACAATATGAAGGCCAGGAGCACCTTTGAGAGTCTGACGAAGAGAGCTGTGTTTCTCGAAAGCTTATGCCACAATAAAGTTTGTTCGTCTCGAAGGTGCTACTGGGCCTTTTTGCTGTTTTGCATCTCTTTCTCTGTGTGTTTTTATATAGACCAACTGTCCGCACAGTGCTCAATACGAATCAATGCTTTTCCCTTCCAGAAGGGTCGCCGTGTCCGTCTTTTGAGCAAAAAGAAACACCTTCTGGCATGTTTAGGCTCCGGCTCGCTCCGTTTTATGCCACCCAGAGGGTGCCTCGGGGAACCGCTTTGTGAAGCAACCCAGAAACTCACAGTTGCCATATAGGGCGGGGGGGGGGGGGGGGGAGATTGGGGGCATTTTGGGATGATGACCCCCGCAGGGCTGTCGTTCCCACGTGCATTTCTTTCAATCATGAGTTTCAGCATTTTCTAGGAAGAACCAAATCTCAGAAACCTTTTTAAAAAGAAATTCAAATAAAAGGCGGGGGGATTTCTTTCCCCTGCACTGTCGCCACCC